GCTGTTGTGGTTGGTGCTATTACGGTTGTCGGTTTTTTCGTTGTCGCTCTTGTGGTTGGTGCTCTTGCCGTTGTCAGTTTTCCCGTTGTCGCTTTAGTGGTTGGGGCTTTTGTGGTTGTCGGTTTTCTCGTTGTCGCTTTTGTGGTTGTTGTAGGTTTGGTCGCTTTTGTTGTTGTTGTCTTCTTTGCAGGTTTTCCTGATCCGGTACATTTATCTTCATTGCAGCAGGAATATTTGTGCACTTTCGAGCCTGAACGCTTTTCTTTTTTTGGGGGACATTTTTCGCAAGTACGATCTGAGCGTGTCACCTTTCCATTTTGTAAGGTTTCTTCGTGCTGCCAGATAAATTGAAATAGAATTACCTGTATATATCGAAGTTTCAAAAAAATGTTACATATAAACATTCCTATCCTGAAACCTGTGTACTGCAATTTTACATAGATAAGTAGATACTCAATACAGTGAATGAATTTTGACAAATCTTTGAAAGTGTTTTCTGATCTGCAGGTGTACGGTAAGCGTAGAAAACTGGCACAGCAGAATTAGTGACGGGGATCCTTGGAATACCTTTCCTAAACAGGTAGGTAACAAGTACCAAATGCATGGTGTCTCACCATAGAGAGATTAGATGTATGGGATAACACCTGGCCAAACAAGTGCAACAACTGAGAGCTATGTGCTAAAAGAATTCTTATACATGAACTACGCGGGTGGTGGAACCACCGCCCTGCTGAATGGTGAGTCAGTAGCTTCGCACCACGGTTTGACAGCAAACGTTCTTCACATGCATTGCGCACGTTCTACGTCCTGTAAACCTATTTTTAATTGTCTCTTTATGTCCCAATCTCACTATTCAAATTTGAGCGTGCTTAAAAGATACCCTATATCCTTGACTTTGATTTTTTTCTGTCATCCAAAAACGCTGAGCGTCTAAAATGCTGGAATGCCCTGTTATCATGCTATTTGTGGCAGGTATTTCACTTCCCGAAATGTGGATGGGCAAAAGTATTTGACTGGTAGCCCAGTTGTATATAGAGGACCACAAAAACGGACGTGGTGACGCATTTGACTGATAAAAATATAGATGAGCGTGAGGCACCCAAAAATCCAGCGTGTCCATGGAAGCTTATAAAAATTGCAAACATGGTTGAACATACGCCCTTCGGGTTCATCAATTCCATACAAACCTGACCTCGGGACTTTGGACACCAATAAAGTGAATAATACAATATTGCTAAAAAATAACATACCTCATAGGCTTTATTGATGAACGTTTCTTGTGAAATAAATAATGAGGGGTGCCGACTTCTTCTCACCCTAACCGCTGAAGAAATATTACTGTTACATGAACAACATTATTTTAAAGAAACACTGCAACCGGGTTGTGCTCTCTAAATTAATCTAGCTGGCGTTTGCCTATAAATGGTAGGTATTTCAGTACGCTTTTACCTTCACAAGCGTGAAACCTATCAGTAAGTAGCTTACATTTACATAACAGATTAATTGCGTAATGCTGATTATTCAATCAGCGTACCAGCACATACTGCAGGGTTGAAGGTTACCAGGTGAATTTCGTGTACCTAACATTCCACATACACTGTTCTACCTTTCCGTACGGTTACAGTTTCTGTCTGCGTTAGGCACACCAAGTGCGGCACTGTGTCGAGGCGAAAATTAAGGGCTCTGTAGGCCTTATCCAATGGCTTTGACTGTCGGTCAGTGACGTATTGTGTTATTTATTTGCTGAGACGTGTCTGACAACCGTATTTTCCCCGACTTACTAAAATACATGTCGCCTAACCTCATTTTGTCGGCATCAGAACATCAGTTAGCTGAAGAAGTATGAATGCAGCAAGCTGCTGTTAGGTTCGATGTATGTGGCGATCATATACCACTTCTAATAGGGTATGATCATGAGTAAATAAAATGAAAAAACATAACACAACATAACATAACAAAACAACATAACTTTCACTGTAGTCACACTACCTTGGCTCCTAGAAGAGTGATGTAATCTCAGCCAAAATTTAAAAACAACGTTAAAGACCGTTTCGAATCCACCCAATCGGAAAATAGTTTATTGTAATCAATCCTAGTTTTGTGATTAAAGGCTTCGTTCAAAGTCACAATCCCAGTGGTTACACGGTCTGATTAATTTCTTTACCCAAAAGTGATTCATCCGAAACTTTAATAGCAGGAATCATTAAGACGTAGGTAACGAAGAAATCACTTTGGATAACCTATCCCAAGGCTTGGTCGCAACACATCTTTTTCTTTTTTTCGGTTTTCTTTCGGACAACTGAGCAGACGTTTTCCAAACTTTTGAGTGTGTTTCGATTGCATCGAAGATCACTACATCTGGAGCCATGGCCAAATTAAAAGGCGAACTCATAGGTTTCCGACATGGTTTATATAGGAGAGGCAACGAGTCTATATAATGCCTACGTATAACATTTTGCAAACAAACGTGAAATAACTAATTATTTAAATGGTTGTCAACAATCATTTAGCTGTGAAAAATTTTCGGCGCCAAGCTGCCATGTCAAGCGAAGGAAGCGACACTAGCAGGTTGCTCAATCCTAGACACGAGCAGTTGAGGTGTCTGTCATTGGGTTGAATTAACGGATCAATATTTACGTCCCCTGTTTACTGCCGGCGGCTAAAGTGGCTGTTATTGAATATCATGTATCGGTATCTTGACGTAGCTCGTTTACTTTTATCATTGTGAATACAGGGTCAATACAAGGCCATCAGTGAACGTACCCAGCCAATATATGTGGAGTAGTCTTGAACTTCATGCGAAGCTGATGGTAAGCAACTATCCGTTCTGGCATTATACCCCTCTGTGAACACTGCAACATTTATGTCGTTATTGGGGATGCAGAATGTACGCAGGTGGCGTTTTTGAAAACAATTTTACGATTTTGTGTGCTTGATTTTTTACTATTTCTCTTCTCGGGATTTTGGTCCAGAATGATATATTTTGCTGATGCCGTTGAGCGAACGGCCGTGTGAAGAGGTGGTGACTATTGAGAATAATTTAAACCCTCCAAAATGAAACCTTCCTCGTAAAATTCCCATACATCTTCGTCACCTTACTATATATGTTCGAAGCATTCAGGTCCAAGAAATTTGTGCGTTTTTGTTGATCATTTATAAGACGTGTGTGGTGTTCTGAGTTGAATACAATTTACCGAAGCATTGACATTTACGAATTCATGATCTGTCAACTGGGACATTTCCAGGTAGAATTTTTACGACAATTTGACGGTTCTGGTGCGACCACATCACTAGTGTTTCGAGCAAGCAAAAACTGTGAGTTTTGACATTGAAACAAACAGTTTGATGTGAATGCAATAACCAACCTTCCCTCCCAGAATGCTTCTCGATCGCAATGTGACTATTTATCAATAAAAGCAATATTCAAGACAGGACACCAAAGTGTTGCCATCAATTCCTGAATCATAGCGGCACTTCAAGGCCACTTTCAACGACCCATCCAAAAACGGGGATTATATTGGGACTAAGGCAAACTTTGCTCGGTTGATCAGGCTTAGATACCGGTGAATACATCAGTTGTTGGCTGCGGACGGGATCAAACGTACACTGAAACACACGACGGGCCGCAACAGTACTCCGTCTAAATAATGTTTTTTCAAGTGGGCTTTGTTGAGAAAACTATGAGTATGGGTAGGCAAGCCCATGCTGAGAGACTCAGAAAAAATGATACGGGTAACAAGAGTGACTTACCACACAGGAGGGGCATTTGTCCTTGACTTTAATACCATTAGTTTTAAATGGAACCGGGCATTTGGAACATACGTAGCATTTTAGTGATTCGGCTCAGACGAACACTAAACGCGAAGTAATTTCAAACTTACCTCCAATCATGAGTTCATACAGTAACACTACCTTGAGCAATTCTCCAAAAAGCATTGTTGCAGTTAGTTTCAGTCAGTTTCAGTCAGTTTCAATGCTTTGAAACTCAATATATATTTGACTGTCATAATTGGAATTCAATCAGTATGATGGATATGTCATCAATCACCACGTTTATACCACCTATTGACCACATTAATGTGATCACATCTTAGGGTGCATGACATTGAGGTCACTCATGCACAAAACTATCCTATTTTATCACCCGTTGTTTCGTAGGAAGAATGGAACACCACTGACTCGACAGGCGCCCCCTGTCGAAAATACGATCATGAATCTTTCTAAAGCATCACATCCATTGAACTCAAACACAACTGTAAAACGCCACTCATCTTACTTTGGAGACATCTGGTGTAGGAATTGCTGCCTAAATTTTAACTAAGTGGTTGATGAAAAGCATCCCATCGTCCCATGAGCATTTTGTAATGATGCTGCTCTCAATGGTTTCATTGTGTATGAGAGGAGTTTCAGGATTGTAGGACATAAATTAGGTGTGGACATGCAGGGATAGATGAAACACGAATATTGCGTGACCTGCATCACTGAGACAACAGAGATCCTGTTTGCGAATCAGTCTTGTTGACCATATAATCTGTACATCCCCCTCGAAAATTGTTGAAGAGCATTACATAAACTCTCGAGTGGCATGCGAATACCTGGACATCATTATCATGTGGTTGATTTGCAGACAAAAGTAGGCAAACTGTTAAGCGACCGAGGGATCAAGGCAAGTATAATTCAACTGCATCAGCGCATTACCCGTGCATTTTTGTTCTACTGCGCCTATCCACACGGAAAATCGTAAGGCCTAAAAAAAGAGAATGGTATGGATGAGCTAATCAAGTTCAGGGTCCTACTGTTCATCATTGCCAATCGTACGTTTGCACAGCGGTGCCTTGCTTCACAGTAAGTTGCTCATGATCTCACTTCAAACAGTAATGGAAAGTTTAGAAACGAAGGTAACCACTCAACCACTAATGTTTAGAACAAAGTTAGAGCTCATGATTTTTTCGCTAAAGTGCTCATTCCGCGAAGCTATATTTATGTACTGTCGGTCAGGTAGTAGGGGCATATGTGACTTTATAGTTTATCAGAGTTAAATTTTGCAACAAACCTTGTCATTTTTGTTTCAATTCCCCAAGCGCATTGGAAATATAAAAATTGCGCTTAAAATCAGGGACTCCATTTGGGTGATGTTTGCCGAATGAATTTGTTTATGAGTGTGATGCAGACGATTTCTTCTGCAAGCATTTATTCAAGATAGTTGATGCTTCCGCTCCGTTTTACAGTGGAAGCAGTCGGATATCATTTAGGTTGTTTCAATTCACGAGCCGTGCATTGAGCATGCGACATGCCTCCGCAGATAACTAGTGGTTAGTACAGATTGAAACCAGCGAAACATTAAATCGCCTCAGAAAAAGTCCCCCACGCAGGCACTGAGTATGTAATCGCATAAGTTATACTAGCGAATGGTTAAATGCCGATTCAAAAATATGTGTTCTGTGGAAGTCATAGGGATGATTTCCACGGCGAGCATTTATTCTAGTCCTCTTCGTTTTACAGTGGAAGCAGTCGGATATGATTCATGTTATCCAAATTGTCGAGTGTGCGTAATCCATGGGACACGTTTGCGCAGATAACTCGTGACAAGTATTATGTTCGCCCAGAAAAAAGTTCCCCTAAGCAGGCACCGCATAGGTAGTCACAGAATATGCACGTTCGAAAATAGGAGCTTTTGCGAAATATAGGAACGGGTAATTTCTGCATAGGTTACATTAATTTAGCACGACACACGTTCAACCAATATTGTCCAAATCTGGTCGAAAACCTACCGGCAGATCACCCCAGTGTACGGCCAATGGTCATCGCCAAACAAACACCATCAAATCAGTGGGATTCATTTGTTTCTTCAAGCGACGAAGAAACGCAATCCGGTCACTGTCAATAAAAAAAAACAATTGCGTGAAACATGCTGCAAAACCGAGCATGATTAATCGCACTCACACACCACAATCGACCATGAAGATTTCGGACGAGCCAAATGAATCCCTTGTGGAATAGTAAAAACGAGGTTAAACATAATGTAAAGCGGGTTACATGCAATAGGGCAGATTATTTTTCGTTGAAAACCATGGATAAAACATGATTTCACTGAAACTGTATGTCCAGTTAGAACAAATACGTTTGCGAATGCGAGCAATCCGTACGGCGTGGACGGCATTCACTTTCAAGATTAACATTGTCTCCGACTGTCAGTCATACCGAAGGTACTTTACGGCAGAACATCTCAGAACAGTTTGCGTAAACACCTCAGAATTCTGAGATGTGATGATTTAGGTTCGAGCAACGTTCGCTGTTAGAGAAATCTAATTTTCCTCCGGAGATAGTATCAGAAGTCTTGTTTGAACGAAGTCATACAAATTCTGTTAACTGTTGAATGCACATAGCAATATACAACTGGCATTGGCAAGTTGGGCGACTGCGTGCCAGTCGACTTGCAGGGTGGACTTCAGTTCGCCAATATCGGAAGCTGGTGTCGCATTCTGCATTCCCGACAGTAGTCCCTACAACATTCGGAGGACGTATGGCATGAGCTCACTCTCCTCATGCAATATGTGTACTGCGCTAGAGAGCTACTAGTTTCATATCACTACACGAAAACGTATATTCGTGCTCAAGACGCCCTTGGGATCCCCATCTGGTTTTCTACAAGCACAGAGATTAAACTACGAAAGAATTCTTTCTGAGGTGAGGTAAAAACGAACTAACGAACACAAACCGAGCCATAGGAAACGAAGTACGAGGGATTGAATTCCTCAAGATATTTTACAGCTCTTCGTTCACACAAAACTCGCTCTCCACAATTACACGGCTCAAGGAAATTTCGCTGGAGCAATGTCACGCCACACAACAAGAATGTTGCTCACCAGCACCTCCAGATTTCCAGACCTATTCTCCCGGACCCTTTGTTACAAGTAAGCTCACCGAGATTCGTCCAGCGGATTGCGGTCCGCAAATGTGGCTCACCACTCGAGTGGCCTGCATTGATTAATCCACCAAAATCCGAATCGATCATCCCAACATTCACGAACGACATAAAGATGGTCTACCATATCGCTGCTATCACGTCGAGCTAAGTAGACCACCCAACTTCACGTGTAAAATTACGTGGCTCGAAGATCCATTGATTATTTGCTGAGAAGTGCGAGCGAGTTTAGGATCAACACATGAATGTTGCGTTACTTGAACGCTGAAGATTGACAGAATGACAAAGACAAAATGATGTAATTGTGCAAGCTGAACTGCAGAAACTGAGCACCACAACAAAACAACCGCAAATATTTTTGCGCCACTGAGAAATTCACACAAGCCTGTCACATCACGACATTGCTTGAGAAGTTTGTAAGAATACACAGGCGACCTGAATGGAGAACGCTGAACCGTAAAACGGCGAATACACTGCTTCAATCGGTACACTCTCGAAATTGGGTGAAATCATAAGGACATCAGTGATTTCTCCATCTTTCGCAATCTACTGACATTTGCTCTTTTTTTTCTTTGCCCGGCGGGATTCCAAATGCTCAGCATCTAGCGTGTTTGACTTGCAACAACAGGGCCATGTTGCACAGTTGGGATAAGCAACTGAAGTATCTTACTCACATCAACAATAATTCAGCTTATTCGGTCACCTTCGGTTCAATACACATTAACTTTGCAGCTTCTTTACTTAATTGGACACAGGTGTATGTCTCAAATATGGCCTATTTCGTGAGTTGCGTGGCCACAACACACACACACACACGAACGCGTTTTTCGATAGGGTGAAAATGCCACCTGGTAAAATGTCAATAATCATGTTGGCTACAAAAGAACGTGTGTTTTACGAATGAATTTCTAGGATCCATTATGGGCGAATCCACGCCGAAGAAACCACGTGACCGATTGAGCGTTTATCTACGAAAATTATACGTGGACTTGCTACTGAACAACTAATATTAGGTAATCAAATGGACATGTGTCCATTTCGCGTCCCCACATCGATATGCTATGGAAGTCATCCGGATGATTTCCACTGCAAGCATTATTACTAGACAGTTGATGCTTCCTCTTCGTTTTACAGTGGAAGCAGTCGGATATGATTCATGTTATCCAAATTGTCGAGTGTGCGTAGTCCATGGGACACGTTTGCGCAGATAACTAGTGATCAGCATTAGGTTCGTCCCAGAAAAATTTTCCAACGCAGGCATTGGGTAGGTAATCGCAATATACATGTCGGAGATTAATTGTACGCCCGTTGGAAAATAAAAGTGTTTGACAAATATAGGACGTGTAATATTTGCATGGTTTACAACAATTTAGCACGCCACTTGATTAACCAATAATGTCAAAATCTGGTCGAAAACCTACCGGTAGATCACTCCAGTGTACAGCCAATGGTCAGCGCCAAACAACATCATCCAGTCAGTGGGACTCATTTGTTTCCTCAAGCGACGAAGATACGTAATCCGGCCACTGTCAATAAAAAAAAACAATTGCGTGAAACATGCTGCAAAACCGAGCCTGACAAATCGCAATCACACACATCACAATGGACGATGCAGATTTCGGACGAGTCTAAATGGATTCCTTGTGGAATAGCTCAATATAACGCGGGTTTTCTGTAGCAGCCCAAGACACTTCTCGTTCAAATCCGTGGACAGAACACTACTGATGATCACACCCCCTGTATTCCTCTCAACAAACTTACCAAGTTACGATTAGTTCCTACATGTGGCCAACTTCAATATAAACTATAAATAATCGTCAGGATGCAATGTTATAATATACTGGAGAAAAGGCGGCGTGAGCGATTATCAAACCCTGACGTTCAACCCAAAAGAAACCCCGAATGATCTGGGTACACATTTCACCGAGTCCAAGAAGTTCTGCATAGCACAAATCAACGAATCTTTCGAAATATTTCAACTCCCCCGGCAAAATCGAAAACATGACAAATCCATCCAGTGGTACGCCCCAGCACTGAAACACATGGCGAACTGGTGAACGAATGAGGAGAAATTTGAAAGGAAAAAGAAAAATTCCGATGAATCCGAAGCTCAGTTACCATAATGAAGCGGTTGAAATGCTGCAGATTTTCTTTGGGCCGATGTATCAATACGTACAACAGCATGCTGGCCGCTGAGAGTCTGACAAGATATTAGACGAAAGTGATCCACGAGTCGACTTAAATATATTTCTATCGATGAATAGTTGCACGCGCAGCTGGCGTGGAACAAAGCAGGTGAAGATCAGGTAGAAGAGTCTAGCCCTAGAAGTGTACCAAGTGCCCAAAGTTGAACCACTTCACTAGACAATGTGATTGCGTCACTGTGAATTCGTTGAAGCAATCGGAAAAGAATAATTATGCTTACATGGTATCAGAGAAAACGTTGGTGTAGCAACATTGTAGTCAGAGCACCCCACTCATTGAACGTTCCGAAAAAGTCAAAGTAATATCAGAACGACTCTCAACATCATTCCAGGCAAATAGGTAACAGCTGTTCGGATCGATGAATCCGGTGTCGCTCTGCATTGGGGAAACGGATCACAATCGAGGCACGTTGTAGTGTCCGTATATGGGAACGTCTTACGGCCAGGACTTACACTGCAGTGACCGATAGATGAGGCAATCGGGATCGCGAAACAATGCAGCATGAATAGAATATAAGCTATTAAACTGGCAGGCTTGTGTAAATCGGTTTGCGATCACTCTATATTTTCAGCTCATGTAACACCGTTATTACACCGTTGAAGTCAACCTCAAATCCTTCTACTCTGTGTTTATTCTAATCTCGACCCGGAACCTCCGGACTTCCGCACTATTTGGTCGAGACCACTAAGATTTGCAAAAGGCGTGCAATTAAGCACGACAGTCAGTGACGACATTCAACACTGTTTATTCAGGGTAGTTTTAGGAGGTCTCAATATTTACTTCTCAGTCTGTCCAGAAACCCAATTCATCTAATGATTGAATTACTTTCCTTGAAGCACCTTTTTGTCTCAAAAAAGAAATGTTGTTCGGCATTGCACCCATTGATTATTTTGCGAATTCCTCGGAAACTTAGCATTGCGTTTTGTGCGACACAATCTCCAACGGTCCATCTTCGGTCTGGAACCAAATCGGATCATACAGACATGAGATGCTTTATCACTTCACAGGGTAAAAATGTCTACTTTGTATGAAAACCGGTGGGGGAAATTCGTCAGATTAGGGATTTCTCCTAGAATTCTGCATATGTTGCAAAACACGGAACATTGGAATTCCGGATTCCTGCACGTTGCTGAAAAGCATCTGCACTGAACATATCAAGCTATTACACTACAGTACAGCCCTGCGTAGTCCCGTTTCGTATGGATCCCTTCATGAATAATACCCGACCCTGAGCACCTGCAGGCTGTCAGACATTTTTGCCAGTATCTCAGCGCTTCCAAAGAATAATGACCACTTCACTCAGTTACTGGCCGAACAACATCAGTGTTCGTGTCTTAGTAACGTGTAAACTCACTGCCGTTATGATCTCATTGTTTCTACGTAAGCTACAGCACCAGTCTGAAATCGGTCGCCCAATGCCAGCACGGATAACAAATACTTCGAGCCTCAAATTTAGGGCAAGAATTCATTCACTTACCAGTTTCATTCGAGATGTGCACTAAAGCCAGCACCGCGGTAAATCGTTTTGTAGCAGTCACAACGCGTCGATTCTGTCAACTGCGTCTCACCATCGTTCTAACTGGTACAGTGTGCCGGCCTACGAGCACTGTCTGCCTGTTACACTATAATACGATTTATCATTATCACCACCAACATCATCATTTTCATCACCCTAGCAACATTCAGCACCGCGGTAAATCGTTTTGTAGCAGTCACAACGCGTCGATTCTGTCAACTGCGTCTCACCATCGTTCTAACTGGTACAGTGTGCCGGCCTACGAGCACTGTCTGCCTGTTACACTATAATACGATTTATCATTATCACCACCAACATCATCATTTTCATCACCCTTCACAGCAACATTCCGGTAAGATACACTGGCACTTAGCTGCCGGTGAAACGAATAGCGCCGTCGGTCTGGACTTATTTACTAAGAAACACCAAGTGAACAGTCACAGACTATTGGATAGCGAAGCAAATCTCTCATATGCATCTTGTTTACAAAAACTGAATATTCATATTCTCCTTAAACACGTCTTCTTAAAGTTTCCTGGATATCCATTGACTGTTGCTCAAATTAAACCAAAGGCCACTACACAAAATCCGTAATAGATCTCACTTTTCAAGAGACGCGAAGCGGATTTACGAGAAAACACACAACCCGCATGCCTCAATCAGTGGCATCCAGCGTTGCACCAGTATGAGGGGAGAAAGCGATAATCGAGGGAATCCTATGTCTTTAGCGAACACCATACCTGGTTGCTTTCAGCTCTGAATAGAATTTATAGAAGCATAACTGATCATTATGTCGGATGAAGCCGCCGTAAAAGTGGTCATTCCCTCTGATATGAAACCGGCACACAATGATAGGCGGAACTTAGATAGGCAGCCCGGTTAAGAAAAGAACCGATGCGCACCAATGGGCTAAGCTGCTTGTCTTGTCCCATAGGATTTCAGACATTCTGCAAGGATGATCACGTGGGCTCAAATATTCAGCGGCATTTGGTTCGACAGAAGCCACTTAATATTGCCATGTCATGATGGCCCCTCAATCACCTTTGGCTAATACTGGTTTGAAACAAAACATAACGCTTCTTTTGGAACAGGTATCACGTGCCCCGACAATCTCAAAATCGTTTGTTTATTCAGCTGCCCTAAATAATCGGATTCGTTACCAACTGAACGCTTACACACCACTTCAGTGCGTATTCGCAGCAGCCAGTTAACACTCGCCACGTCATAGAGAGACCGGGTAACATTAGTTCAAAGCCACCCGAGCATCCTTTGTTTTGGGTGAGTCAGGCCTGACAAAATAGAATCAGACTGCTCTTGCGGCTCCCTTTTATTGATTTTCGGTCATGACGCCCGAAATAAAGCAAGATGGCGAGAGCTGCATGTGAATTAATTTTTCGTGCAGTAACTCCAGTTTTCAGAATACGGTCACACCCTATGCAACCAACGGGATGCCCGAGACCGTCAACAAATAATGGAGTTTATTCGGGAGTATCAGAATATCCCGTATGGATTGGAAATCTTAAATTGAAGCTTTCGAAAGTGAAACTGCAGAACGCAACGGAAACGCGAGGTCATCTCTGACGTGCTGGTTAGCTTACTTGCGTGGCAAAACATTCATTAAGCAACAACACTACATGATCTGCATAGTTGAAATTATCTCTCCTCAGACTTGATTTCGATATCTACATTTATGAGACTTTGAAGTATGCACACCATGAATAAACTGAACAACGATTAGAGAGGGGACATTCCTAAAGACCTGTACAAGATGTCTGGAAATACCTAGACAGTCAAACATGAACCTGGAGCTGGTCGGAGTAATGAGGGTAACGCGTGCGAAGAATGTTTACATAAGTCAACGGCATCCATCTTTGGCCAACAATGTTTAGCACAGCGAGTATATCAGCAGATTCGAAGGCTTCGTTAAAGTTGGGGAAAATCGCGATTACTGGTCAGCTGTTGCTCGAAGATCCATTGTTTATTTACTAGAGGGCTTTCATAAATCCAACAGCACGCGTATGCACGCTGCATTCTGCTGGTGCACAAAGGCACACATCAATAAATGGAGCTGATTAGTTGGACAAGTTTTGTTTTCGAAGGAGAAATTGGGACAGCACAGAGTCGAATGCTTACATGAACCCAGTCAGCTTTGGCTCGGCTACACAAAACCATGCAATCGTTTGCGGTGACTGATGCAGAAGTTTCTGCATCACTCAGATTTTCTAGTGTGTAGCGTCTAGTTAGACAGGGTGCAGTACTCTCGGCAGCGAGTTTGAAAGTTGCAACAGACAACCGACGGAGTATCCAGAGTGAACGTAGTAGCATCTTGTTGACCGATTTGCCATGAAGTGCCCACATTAAGGGCCTGAGAATATCAGGAGAATGAATTCTGAACAGCAAGCGTGGAGCAGTATACGTGAGCGGTAGCATTCGCAATGTCAACTTCATGGGTGTCTGACTTGGTGGTGTATGCATCTGGAATTTAGAAAAGAGTAAATTTTGCGTGTAACATGTTGGCATCTAGTAGATTACGATATGGAGAGACTGTAGGGGCAAGCAGTAGCATATTTTCGCCCATCCACCACGTCATGTACGGCGAGTAAGAAGACTCGGCCGATATCAACTGATGACGGTTCATGTGGCATTAAGTTCGTTTCATCTCAAGCAGAATTCCCAGTACAGTACAGTACAGTTCAGCACAGTGCAGTACAGTAGAGTACAGTACAGTAGAGTACAGTACAGTGCAGTACAGTGCAGTACAGTATAGTACAGTACAGCAAAGTGACCTACTGAATTACACAAGACGAAATACTACGATAAATTCCAGTAACCTTGCAGTGTGATGCTCCAATCAGTTTACCTGATTAAGTACTTTTATGAGAAAAGTCACATCGTGGGCATTTCAAATCCCGCATTGAATTCGCTCGCACAAGTTGACAAATTTAGTGTTCGGTTCAGTCAGAATTGAGCACGGTCTGGCCTTTGAGTTACTTGCGCTGTCTCATCTGAGACCGAGATTCCATGAATGATGCTAGACGTCCAGTTAACACAAATCGGTTTGGGCATGCGAGCAACCTGTGATGCATGGGCGGGATTCCCTTTCGAGCTTAAGTTTGTTAGTTCTACGGTACGTACTTCACGGCAGAACATCTCAGAACACATTGCGTAAAGCTTAGAATAATGAGATGCAATGATTTAGGCTCGTGCAAGATTCGCTGGTGCAGTACTGGATACAGATTCCATTTTCCTCTGGAAAAAGTCTCAGAAGTCTAATTTGAACAAAGTCATGTGAATTCTCTTGACTGTCGGACGGACAACATAATAATGCACAACTGGTATTGAAAAGTTGGACGACTGCGTGCCAGTCGACTTGCAGGGTGGACGTTAGTTCGCCAATATCGGAAGCTGGTGCCGCTTTCTGCATTCCCGACATTAGTACCTCCACCATTCGGAGATCGTATGCCATGATCTCACACTATTCGTTCAATATGTGTACTGCGCTAGAGGGCTATGTAGTTTCCGATTACTACACAAAAGCTTACGTTTGCGCTCAAGATGCCCATGGGATCACCAGCTTGTTATATACTACAACACGGATTAAACAACAAATGAATTCTTTCTGAAGTGAGGTAAGACGAAATAAAGAACAAAAAGGAGCCATAGGAAACAATGTACGAGGGAATGAATTCCTCAAGATATTTTACAGCACTTCGTTCACAGAAACCTCGCCCTCCGCAGTTGCAGAAGGCTCAATATCACGGCACACAACCAGAATGTTGTTCACCAGCACGTCCAGATTTCCAAAACTGTTCTCGTGGACCCCTTGGTACAACTAATCCCACTGAGGTTCGTTCATCGAATAGCGGTCGGTTGATCTAGCTGGCCTTTTGAGTGTCCCGATTTGAATAATCCACCGAAATCTGAATCGATCATCCCAACATTCACGAACGACATAAAGATGGTGCACCATATCGTTGCTATCACGTTGAGCTAAGTATACCACCCACCTTCACGTGTGAAATTACATGGTTCGAAAATGCGTCGATTGCTTGCTGAGAAGTGCGAGCGAGTTTAGGAGCACCACATAAATGTTGCGTTACTTGAACGTTGAACATTGACGGAATGACAAAGACAAAATGACGTGATCGCGCAAGCTGAAATGCAGAAACTGCGCACCACAACAAATCAACCGTAAATATCTTTGCACCACTGAGAAATTCATGCAAGATTGTCATATCCACGTCGTCGTTTGAGAAGTATGTGGGAATACACAAGGCGACCTGAATTTAGAACACTTTACCGTAAAACGGCTAAGACATCTCTTCAATCAGTAAACTCTCGAAATTAGGTGAAGTCATAAGGACATCAGTGATTTCTCCATCTTTCGCAGTCTACTGACATCTACTCTTTTTTTCGTTGCCCGGCGGGCTTCCAAATGCTTAGCATCTAACGTGTTTGACTTGAAACAACAGGGCCATGTTGCACAGTTAGGTTAAGCAACTGGAGTATCTTTGTCACGTCATCAACAATAATTTGGCCTACTCAGTGTCCTTCACCCCCAATATACATTACCTTTGGAGCAATATGAATGCGTTCATTTTCAGTCCAGATTTTTTACTTGACACTTAGTGCAATACAGATGTATGCCCCAAATATGGCCTATTTTGTGAGTTGCAAATAAGTATCCGCATTAGCTGTACGTTGTGACCACAACATACACACACATTTTGCGATTTATTTTGCATTTATTTTAGATAGTTGATGCTTCCCCTCCGTTTTACAGTTAAAGGAGTCAGATATCACGTAGGTTGTCTAAATCGTCGAGCCGTGCGTTGGGCATGCGCCACGCCTGCGCAGGTAACTAGTTAATAATGCTGATCGACACCAACAAAGCATTATGTTCGTTTCAGAAACGAAATTACCAACGCAGGCATTGGGTATGTAGTCGCATAGAGCATGGTAGCGAATGAATGAATGGGGATTTCTCTTTCCATTACCCAGGCGCTTTAGAAATATAAACATTGCGCATGCAATCAAAAAATCCCTCTGGTTGATGCTTGCCCACTGAATTCGTTTATGGGAGTGATGCAGATGATTTTTTCTACAATTAATTTTTCTAGATAGTGGATGCTTTCTCCCCGGTTCGTAGTGGAAGCAGTCCTAGGTCATGTGGGTTACCCAAATTCTCGAGCCACGCGAATCCCATGGGACAAGTCTGCGCAGATAACTGATGGTTAGTACTGATTGGAATTCACAAAGCACTAAGTTCGTCCCAAAATAAATTTCTTAAACCATGCAGCCGGTAGGCAATCGCATACTATATGCTGTAGATAGGTTGTTTTCCCATTTAAAATGGTTGGTTTGCGAAATATTAGAGGTGGAATATTTGCATAGTTTACAACAATTTAGCACGCCACTCGATTAACCAATAATGTCAAAATCTGATCGAAATCCTACCAGTAGACCACTCCAAAGTACATCTAATGGTCGGCACCAACCAATATAATCCAGTCAGTGGGATTCATTTGTCTTCTCAAGCGACGAAGATACGCAATCCGGGCACTGCCAATGAAAAAGCGATCGCGTGAAACATGGTACAAAACCGAGGCCGACAAATCGCAATCACACACATCACAATGGACGGTGCAGATTTCGGACGAGTCCAGATGGATTCCTTGTGGAATAGTAAATTCGCAGTTTAGCTCAATACAATGCTGGTTTGCTGTCACTGATTTACCCAGATCACACTGCTGATGATCACCCCGCCTATATTCCTCTTAGGACCCAATCACAAAAATCTTGCCAAGTTACGATCAGTTCTCGCTTGTGGCCAACTTCAATCTAAAATAGAAATAACTGTTGGGCTGCAATTCTGTTGTGCACTTGGGGAAAGGGGCCGTGAGCGATTAACAAACCCTGACGTTCAACCCAACAGAAAATTCAAATGATCTGGGTACACATATGATTAGGTCCCAGAAGTTCTGGATGGGACAAAACAACGAATCTTTCGAACTATTTCAACTCCCTCAGATAAGTCGAAAACACAACAAATTCCTCCAGTGTTACGCTCCAGCTATTGTAGGTTTCCTTTGGAACGATGTATCAATACACAGAACAGCGCTTTGGCCGCCGACAGTCTAACAAGATATTAGACTGAAGTGACCCACGAGTCGACTTAAATATCATTGGATCAATCAATACTTGCACGTGCAGCTGCCGTGGGACAAGGCAGGTGAAGACCAGGTAGAATAGTTCAGCCCTAGAAGGAAGCGTACCAAGTGTCCGAGGATGAATCACTTCACTAGATAACGTGACTGTGTGACCATGAATTAGTTTAAACAAACTGAGAAGACTAATTTTGCCTAAATGGTGTCAGAGATGGCCTTGGTATAGCAGCGTTATAGTCAAAGCACCCGACTCATGGAAATTTCCGGAAACGTCAAGGTAGTACAAGTGCGGCTATCAACATCATTCCAGGCAACTGCGTTAGAGCTTTTCGGATCGATGAATCCGGTGTCGCTCTGCGTTGACGGAACGGATCACAAACGAAGCAAGTTGTACGGGTCAGTATATGGGAATTTCTTACGGCCAGCACTTACACTGCAGTAACCGATGAGGCAATCCTGCGTTAGAGCTTTTCGGATCGATGAATCCGGTGTCGCTCTGCGTTGACGGAACGGATCACAAACGAAGCAAGTTGTACGGGTCAGTATATGGGAATTTCTTACGGCCAGCACTTACACTGCAGTAACCGATAGATGAGGCAATCGAGATCGCGAAACAATGCTGCATGAATAGAATAGTTGATATTAAACTAGCAGGCTTGTGTGAATCGGTTTGCGGTCACTCTATATTTTAGCTCATGTGGCACCGTTATTAGACCGTATAAGTGTACAATATGCGTGTACAATATGTGTTTATTCGAATCTCGACCCGGAACCTCCGGAGTTTCGCACCATTTGGTCGAGACCAATATAATTTGCGAAAGGCCTACAAATCAGCACGAAAATCAGTGATGCCATTCAGCATTGTTTATTTCGGGTAGTTTTTGGAGATCTCAGTATTTGATTCTCAGTCTGTCCTCCAAAGCGGGTTGCCTAATAAATGAATTACTTTCCTTGGGGCAGCTGTGTATCGAGAAAGCAAATGTTGTTCAGCAATACACCAATTGATTATTTAGCGAATTTTTTGGAAACTTAGCATTGCGTCTTTCTGAGGTGCAATCCCCCATCTTCGGTCTGGAATGAAATCGGCATATTTTGACATGAGATGCTTCATCATTTGACGGGGTAAAATTGTCTACGTTGTACGAAAACCGGGGAGGCAATTTGTCACGTTGGGGATTTGTCCTAGAATTCTGCAGATGTTGCAATACACGGAACATTGGAATACCAGATATGCGTTGGATATATCCAGGTGTTGCACTACGAAACAGTCCTGCGTATTCTCGCCTCGTATGGGACTTTTCATGGATAGTACTCGACCGTGAGCACCTGCAGGCTTGGTCAGCCAATTTTGCCAGTGTCTCATCGCTTCCAAAGAATGGTAGCCACTTCACTCAGTAACTGACCGAACAACATTGGCGTTTGTGTGTCTTAACGTGGAAACTCGCTGTCGCTTTGATCTCGGTGCTTATATGTAAGATACCGCAACACTGTCTGAAATTGGTCGCCCAATGGCAGCACATATATCAAATACTGGAAGCTCAAAGTTGGGGCGAGAATCCCTTCAATTACAAGTTTCATACAAGGTTTGTGCTAAAGCAATCACCGCGGTAAATCTTATTGTGGCACCCATAACGCATCTATTGTGTCCCTGGCGTCGCACCATCGTTTCAACTAGTACAGTGTGCCAGCTTTCGAGTGCGGTCTGCCTGTGACACTAGTATACGATTTACCATTATCACCACCAACACCGTTATTTTCATCACCTTTCACAGCAACACTCCAGGAAGATATAATGGCACTTAACTGCTAGTATGCGGGAAGGAAGCACCATAAAGGGTGCTTTCAGCTCTAAATAGAATTTATATACGCACACTGATCATCATGTCCAATTAGATTTTCGTAAAAGGTATCAACCCTATCTGACATAAAACCCGCATGGTAGGCTGGGCGGAACTTAATAAACACTCGCCGATATGTGTCACTGCGCTAGGCTGCGTGTCATGTCCCATAAGGTTTCAGACATGCTGCAAGCAAGATCACGTAGGCCAGGGCCACATGGCTTCAAATATTTCAAAGCACTCTATTTGGCAGTAGCCGCTTTCAATTAATATTGCCGTGCCATTACTCTCAATCATCTTTCACCAATAATCGTTTGAAGCTTTCTTTGGAACATGTATCAGGTGTCCCGACAATCTGAAACAAGGTTAGTTTATACAGTTGCTCTAAATAACCGGATTCGTTACCAACTGAACACTTACACACCACTTCAGTGCGTATTCCCTGCAGACAGCTAGCTCATGCCACCGCACACAGAGGCCGGTTAACATTAACTCAAACCAAACCAAATACCCCCTGTTTTGGTTGAGCCAGGCTCTACAAACATAGAGTAAGACTGCTCTTACGGCTGCCTTTCAAACACCACTCTTTAGCTTCATTGATTTTCGGTTCTAACGCCCGAAATAAAGCGATAGGTCGAAAGCTGCTCGTGAATTGATTATTCGTACAGTAACTCCAGTTTTCAGAATACGGTCACAGCTTATGCAGTCAACGGGATACCCGAGATGATCAACAAATAATGGGGTTTATTCGGGATTATCAAAAAATCCCAAATGTTTGGAAATCTTAAATTAAAGCCTCCGAAATTGAAGTTGCAAAACGCAACGGAAATGCGAGGCCACCTCTGATGTGCTGGCTAACTTATTTGCTGGGTATAACATTCGTCAAAGGACAATGGTACATGATCCGCACAGTTAAAATTATCTCTCCTCAGACTTGGCACAAAATCGCCTTTATTGTACAAGCTAGACCAAACGTAACCTCATGACCTCGCTGCAGACTGCATAACTCCTGCAACCTCTCAATGCATCCTCCAGCTCCTACAAACCTACATAATTTCTTTTTAGTTTATTACGCTCGCATCTGGAACAGCCTTTCTGAGTAGCTGCAAAGCATCACGCATCATCATACTTTTCTGAGTCCATAGACAAATTCCTTACCTGTGAAACTGCTGCCGCCTTATTTAATACCTAACTACCCCCGACCTCCATCAGCATCATAATCGACAGCATGTCATCAGTTTTCAACAACGATGCTTCACTGCCGTATAACCGCGATTCATTTAAAAGCCTTATTGTAAAGAAAAGAATAAAGGTGGATGGGGGAGGGACTTAGTGCTAGCTTACCACGATCATTCCGAGGTGTCTATATCTCCAGACATCCATTTGAGCGATCTGGATAGAAACAGACAACAAAAACTCCACTGACATCGGTTGGCAACCATATCTTGTAGTGTTTCCAACCAGGCACAGTGTGCATCACGCGGTCCCCATCCTGGAAGGCGAGTAGCAGCGACAGCACATAATCGTTTCGTGATCTCCTTCATACTCCTCTGCCAAGTCAAGGGTTGGCTACCTCTCTGTCTACGCCACTCTTAATTGGGCATGGAAAACAGCACTCACTTCGGCAAACGATGACTAGGTATACGCAACACATGTCCCAACCAACGCAGCTTCTGGTGCTGGACATATTCTTCACTGCACGACCGAAAACGTGGTTTCTAACTGCCTCATTACGGATTCGCTGACACCAACCCACATGAGCTATGGTTCTTAGGCAACGATTATCGAATACCGGAAGACGTCTTACTTCCGCTGCTTGAATGGGCCAAGTCTCACAGCCATACAACAAAACAGCCCGTACTTTAGCTTGATACACACGTCCCTTCAGATTCAGGGATAAACCACTCTGACGCCAAAGGTGTCTCAAATTGGCGAACCTCGCAGATTCGTGCATTGACCTAATCTGTCACACTACGATCAGAACTAATACCACTTCCAAAATACGTAAAACGCTCCACAACTTCCACTACCTCTCCCTGGATTGTAAGCAGCGTGTTCGGTGGCTGCACGTCCAGAAGCATGACCTTAGACTTTGTAGGTCAAAAGTGCATACCAAACGACTGGATGACTTTGGTCAGTTCATTCAAGAGTAATTGCGCCTTCTCCTCCTCTTCGACCATTAGAACGATGTCGTCTACGTATTCCAGATCGACAAAGTGTTCCTCACAGGCTATTTGAACACCAGGGTTTTGGAGATCCTCCAGCGTTCGTCTCATTATTTCATCGATCACGAAGTTAAAAAGGAATGGAGAGGGTGGGCACCGTTTTGTATACGGAAGCTTTTGGAGAGCTCCCCGTACACTGCCGTACGTCCGGAAGTCTCAGAATACAAACAGCGTATTATGTTTACAAACTTCCGGGGCATTTCTTGGTGGGCAAGCTTCCCAAGAAGAACAGACCGATCAAATCCTACCAGCCCGGAATCCGGCTTGCTGCTCTCGAGTCAGTATCTCACGAGCCACCGTAAGGCGACGAAACACGATTAACGCCAACAGTGTCGTTACGACCGCGGTCAAGCTGATCCCCAGTTATTTCCACTCACTACGCGCCCCTTTTTGAAAACGGGACTATCATCGATTCTCCCCAGTTGCCTGAGACAGACTCCGTTTCCCAAATGCAACCAAGCAGATCGGGCAAGCGCTGACGGAGGACTTCAACCCGTCTTTGAACAGTGCGGGTGGGAGGTCATCCGGACCAGTAGCTCGGTCGCGCTTGAAAGAACAGCAGTCGTAAACCTCCGAGGCCGTAGGTGGTCCCACATTCACCGTCCAGGGTTCTACATGACCTGTGGGCTCTAGATGAGTACCGGCAGTTGCTGTTCAAAGTATTCGGCCCACCAGTCGAGGCGTTCTTCTTTATTCGAGATGTTCATTTCATTCTGATGTTTGTTAGTTTCACTCATAGGTAGTCCCGCGGGGACCGGTCGCACGGATCAACTGACATAATCTTATGGCAATACCGACTTTCCGGGCCTCTTCCATTTCTTTGGATTTCTGTGTCCATCATATTTCACGATCGGATCGCAAGGTCATTTTCACTTGACGTCTGATAACTCTTCGCACCGGGTTGTTTGGTGCCGGCTGGGATGCTTCTTCGAGATTCATTCGGTCTGATTTCCAGTGCTTGGGTGCGCCTGGTTGGGTCGTGCCACAGGCAAAATTCCCAGCACTGTACAAAGAGGTGGCAATCTCGTTCCAGTATGAGTTCACATCTGATGATGGAGCATTTGGAAGAGACTCTAGCAGATGCTTCTGGTAAGTTCGTATGACATCCGGATCTGTCAGTCTTTCAGTTGCCATGCGATTCGTCCGCACTTTACGCGGCCCCGGAAAACGTAGGGAGAAGCGAGTACGGACGAGCGCGTGATCAGAGTCCACAAATGTGTTCCAAACCGACCGCCAGTCAGTTGTTGATCCGCACCGTCGGTAACTGATGGCAATGTGGTTGATTTGAGTTTGTGGCCGGCCTGCCGTTGGAGAACACCAAGTGGTCAGACAACTTCAGCTAATTCGGAAGTTAGTACTGCATAAAAAACAGCCTGCGATCAGCACACAGCCGAAGCAATCTTCCCTATTGTCCGTACGTACCGAGTCCAGTCCAAGTCGATCTCCTAATTGAGTCTCAGATGCACTAAGCCTGCCCACTTGCGTATTCATATCTCCGACAACCACCACAATGCCTGAGCTTTTAGCTTGCCGCAGCAGAGCATTCAGGGCGTCGTAAAACCTGTCTTTGACGGCGTCGGAGCTACAATCAGTTGGGACGCCGGCAGACACCAATAACAGACATCCATCAACTTGCCGCTTGTGAGACTCCTTCACAGACATTGCCAGGCGAACCGCACAGAGGCGACTATCAACAGGTATCCAGTCAAGTAAGGATACTTCCGCCGGGTGATTTAGCACAAATCCAACCCCTACACATCCCGCTGCAGCAGCCTCTGGATCAGCAGAGGTGCGCAGTCGCAAGCGGGTGGAGACTCACGGATGGTTATCTAAATCACTGTGCCTGCATCTTGAATTCTAGTTTCTGAGACATAGCACACGATAGTGCCAAGCGAGTCCAGTGTGAGTGTAAGAGCAGCTTGTTGTCCTGCTTGCTTCAGAGTGCGGATATTAAACGCGGTCAGATAGACTGGGTGTTGAGCCTTGAGAACTGATTTGGAGATACCTGAAGATGTCGGCGCCATGTAACGAGCAGATGCCGCACGCAAAACCGATGCATGACGAACGGAGTCATCAGTCCTAAGTGCTGAGCCTACAAGAGGAGTGTTATTAATGGGGGGAGAGGGGGAAGAAAAAGTATGTGAAAGAGAAAGAAGAGAAGCGTCAACAGTAGCCTGTTTTTGCTTACCCGCCCTGCTGTATGCAGCAAGTAGGGCGACCCGGCTGATGGCACCACGCGACGGCCGATGTGGCGTGAGTTTTGTGAGTCGTTAATGTCTTGGTTGTACGAGGGCTGGGATACTGCCAGGGCGCCCACACCTAGACAGGAGGACGATTAGGGTCCTCAACCAAAGCCTTTGGCCCAAAAACCTAACTGCAAAGCAGCGATGTTTGGCGGAAAATTTAAATGCATTACCATTTCTACGGCGACAAATTTATTTCCTTCCCAAAATTAGGCACCTACTCTGCCCAGCTAACAATTGGTTTCTGGGTCCATTTAGCGTGATATCATCCCTTTTGGGATTTTTTTATCTATTGACACATTTTTATCCGTCTCCTAGCACTCACCAGACGATAATCCTCTCATCCTATTTATTCCTCACTCCTCCTCTCCCCAAGCTTTAAACTTCTGTTGTAGAGATGCCCCGTACCACCGTTATTCACTCAATCTGACTGGTCCCCGGTGCACAATCACATGGTCCTCCAGCTGAAGGGAAATCATCCGTGGCCTTGCATTGGCCTGACTCCATCCGGTCACTCTCCTGGCCTAACCCAGTTCCAGCTGCCACGGAAATGCGTATTCCTTCTCCGATGACCGTTACGGGGCTGTCCATAAATTGAAGTCTGTCAGTGCAATGATGGCATGACACTGCCATACCCAGTGTGGTGGTACTCCCGCAACTACTTTCTTCAGAATCTCGACAGCAACATCCCGTCCAATCGAGCCTGTAATCGCAGCTACTGGCAAATTTTTCACCTGGCCCTAACAGCATCTACGACGAGTATATTCTAAAACGAAGATCTGACCAACCTGGTTTTCTGCCACGATTTCGGTTTGCCAATTTCACAAGTTTGATTCCCTACAAGGTGTTCGTTTGGCCCTAGGAATTAGCACTATCTGCTCGTTGAACTCATCCACTTACACTGTCTTCCTTACAAAGGTGGCTATGATGAACATGACTGATGCTCTATTCATTGCTCTATTCATTATTCTCTTGTTTTAATATTCCATATGCTGTACATATTCGCCAATTCGAATA